AATAACTCCACATTTATTATGTTTTTATATATCAGCACAAACCAGTTTGAAAACAATGTGTGTGGGGGGTGAGGTGTAGAGGGGAGAGGACATACAAGGACAACTAAACTCTTCCTAAAAGATGTGAAAAAACATCTCACTTTGGCGAGTAGCAACTGGCATCTTAAAAGCTTGCAAGCGATGGGTCTATCCTCGTCCAGAGCAAAGAGGAATGAAGAAAACCAAAGACACATGGAAACAATTAGTCCAAGAAACTATGGATGGTATGCCATCCAATCCTCAACCTATATGACTATAAAACCAGAAGAACTAGATGGTGCCTGGCTACCACTGTCAATCATTAGGAGGGAAATTGATGTAGGAGATACTGGATAGAGAGGGAGAACAATGTGGAACAAAACTCAAAATCATAAAAAAAAAAAAATGATGGGAGGGGGAACCAAGTTGGTTGGTTTGATAGAGCCTGGTGAAACCCCTGAGGCTATGGCCCCTAGCTGTCCTTTAGGTCTGGAATTGAACTCACTTCTGTGGCTTCCAGCCAAACAAAATACAGAAATATGAGCTGAACATTTATATTAGGTAGATACAGTCCTTGGAGAGATCAATCATGGGAGTATAGATGGGCTGTGTATGCAAGGGGAGACAGCTCAAGGGGCAGGAATATATGAGAGGGAAGGACACAGGGAAGAGGTAACTATGGGGAGGGAGTGGGGAGAGAGCTGTTGGGAAATTGCAGTCCATGTCATGAGACGAAGTGTATGTGAGCTGCTGTATGGAAAATGAATTTGTTCTGAAAACTTTCACCCAAATCACAATAAAAATTTAAAAAAAAAAAAAATGTGAAAAAACTTTTTTTTTCTAAAAAGAAATTCTTGAATATGTCATGCTTCTTGCTGCCTTTATCAGGTTCTTTATAAGCAATAGAAACTGATTCTGTCTAACAAGAAATAGTGAAATTCATTGGAGGAGTATGGTATTTCTGAAGGATCAGAAACCAGGGCAACTCTGGGTATAATTTTTTTGTGTCATCAAGCCACTTGTGAATTATAGTGACTTTACAGGAAGAGTAGAACAGCTCCATAGGATTTCTAGGCTGTAATCTTCATGGAAGGAGCCCTGGCGGTACAGTGGTTAAGAGCTTGGCTGCTAACCAAAATCGCTGTCCAAATGCACCAGCCGCTCTGAGGAAGAATGATGGGGCAGTCTGCTTCCAGCCTTGCAAATCCTATGGAGCAGTTCTATTCTGTCCTGTAAGGTGACTATGAGTAGGAATCAACTCGAGAGCAGTGGGTTTGGGTTTTTTGCCTATTTAATGGAAGTCGACCTTCAGGTCTTTTCTCCCAGTGGGGCAGTTGGTGGGTTCGAACCACAGGCCATTTGGTAAGTAGCCATGTATTTAACCACTGTGCCATCAGAACACAAAACAACAAGCAAAAACAAAGGAAAAATACTCCAGGGAAAACAAAAAGCTGTATAAGAAAGGAAATGAAATTATTCCACACTATGTGTCTCAGCCATGAAAGACACTGAAATATTGTTTTATTCAAAAATTGTGACAATTATATTGAGAGAGAAAGAGGAAGGGAAGTCGCTCTAAGTAGGCAACGTGAGCATGGTAGGTCCTCATCTGCCATATTAAGAAGTAAAATGAAAAATGCCTAAAATTGAAAGAAAGTCAAGAATGAGCAATGCATGTGAATTATTTAGAAATATGAAAGTAAATAAATACCAGAAGAAAGGGCCAAAAGAATGTGAATGGCTGCTTCTGGGCGTATGAATCAGGAAGGGGTTAGGGGACTGCTGTTTCTAATCACAGGCATTGCATTATTATTTGGCTTTGAAAACTATGTGTATTAATTTGAGGAAATTAAAAACTTAATTTAAAATTAAAAAAAAAAAAAAAATTCCTGACAGTGATGCAGTCTTTAAATAGAACATCTCATTTCTGCCCTTAATCTAATACTATAAAGAGTAGGTTTTAGTTTGAGAAACTCTATGTGGTAGTTAAGGTTATGTGTCAACTTGGCTGGGCCTGGTTGAGTGGCTGGGCAGCTGGATGTAGTTATTCCCGATTTGGTTGATTGGTAATCAACTCCATGGCAGAATCTATTGGAGCAGCTGAGTAGCTAACTTAGGGGTGTGATCTGCTTCCTGTATAAAAGGAGAAGCGTTAAGAAAAGTATGCAGTTTTTTCCCATGCTTGGACCCTGCATTTGGCCGAGTCTTTGTCTCATTGGCCTGCTGTGTTGTCTGTGGATCTTGGGACTGTTAATGGACTTGAATCAGTGGCTTGTTGTGTGGTTTGGTAATGTTGGGACTGTGTCTATTTATTTGTCAACTTTGGGTTTGTCAGCCTTAGCAGCTAGCAGCTGCCTAAGAAGCCTCCAGCTTCAGTGGGCCGGGAGCAAGAGGCAGAGCTGAAGTCCAAGGTCAAGGAGCTTACACCCAGCCCCTAGAGCCTGCCACTTTGAACTCAGACTTCTAGCCCCAAAAACTGTAAGAGAATAAACTCCTGTGGTGGTGTACTGCCTAAGGCATGTGACTGCTAACCAGAAGGCTGGTGGTTCAAACCCACCAGCCACTCCACGGAAGGAAGATTGGGCAATCTACTTCCATACAGATACCACCTTGGAAACCCAAGGAGGGGTTGCTATGAGTCAGAGCTGGCTCCACGGCAGTGAGTTTGGTTTGGTTTGGTTGGTTAAGACCACCCATTTGTGGTATATTCCTGTCAGAACAAGACTAGGTAACCAAAACACTGTGTTACACAATTGTGTACAAAGGATGAAAATACACATTTGCTCAGTAGAGCAGTTTTTTCTGGTTCTGTTGTTAACTGCTGTCATGTCAGCCCCCAACTCATGCAAGTTTCCATTGAGGGATGATTGGACCAAATTTGGGTCTCCTGCATGAAAAGGAAGAATTCTACCACTGAACCACCAACCACCTGGTTCTAAGCCTGAAGAATTTTCCTCCAGAATCCTCACGAAGGGAACCCCATGTGATGTGATTAGCACCTTTAGCCACATCTCTATAATAAATAGAAATGAGGATCACAATATTCCTTATTTACCACCCCTTCTGTGAAAGGATGGGGATCTGGTAGCACTCTGGTTAAAGCATTTGGCTGCTAACCAAAAGGTTGGTAGTACAAACCCACTGGCTGCTCCGCAAGAGAAAGATGAGACAATCTGCTTCCATAAAGATTTACCGCCATGGAAACCCTATGCACAGTGCTACTCTATCATATAAGGTCCCTATGAGTTGGAATTGACTCATGACAGTGGGCTTGGTTTTTTGGTTTTCAGTGAAAGATGGAAGCATAACTTTAAAGCACAGTCCAGTTAAAGCATTTCTGTGAAAGGTGAAAGCAAGTGAGTCAATCTTTGATGGCTATGGATAAACGCAAGTTTAGTTAGAGTAACAAAGAGGTACATATCCTTTAGGCACTTTTTCATAAGTACTATATTTTGTAATAAAAACTTGATTTTTTAAATTGTGATTTGTTTGAAATTTTACAAAGACTCGTTTTATATTCAACATTTCATAGACATTTTGTTTTGTGACACTGGTTACATTCTCCACAATGTAACAGCTCTCCTCCCACTTCCCCCTGTGGTCACATTTTCCTTGTGACCTTTTTGCCTATGCACTCTTGCCTCCCTCTGCAAATGCTGCCCTTCTGATCTCCAAGGTACATTCTTCTAAGGGGTGCATCGCCCTGGTGTAGGTGTTCAGCTCTCAGTCTGTTTGGCTGAGGGAGTGAGTTCAATTCCAGGCCCAAAGGGTGACTCAGGGCCATAGTCTCAGATGTTTCATCAGTCTCTATCAGACCAGTAAGCCTGGTCTTTTTTATGATTTTGAGTTTTATTCCACATGTTTTTCTGCCACTCTATTCAGGATCTCTAATTTTGATCCCCAAAATTTTGATGAGACTGAGCAACACAAACTTCAAATACAGGTATTCTGTTACATATTGTCTAACAGACAAAATAGGAAGAGTGAAATTCTTTTTATGAAAATAGAAGAGCCTAACTTCAGGCTGTCTTGAGCTGTCTAATCACATGGCACTCTCTCCACCCAGAGTTGTGCCCCATGGAGTTGGGGGCTGTTCCGGGGTGTGTTCATTTCCCTGAACTTTTGGTCCTCCTTCTTTATAGGAGAATCATGCTCTGGCAGTGGGAAAAACCCCTCAGCCTAAGAGATGGTAACAGGAAGTCCTGCATGGAGTAGTGAGGTCTGAACAGATATGATGAGTCCCTGGGTAGTGCAAATGTTAACATGCTTGCTGCTAATGGAGAGATGAGAGGTTTCAAGTCCACTGAGAGGTGCCTTGAAAGAAAGACCTGGCAATCACCATTGAAAATCACATAGCTCTACTCAGACATAGGGTCTCTGTGAGTTAGAATCAACTCAATGGCTTTTTTTTTTTTAAGGATATGGGTGAGGGAACAGTGTCTACTACAAGGGGTAACTGTGAGTTGGGTTAGGATCTGGCATTTCCATATATTTTGGCTTAATGTCATCTAGTAACCTCCCGAATTCACCATCACTCCTTATGAATTCCCACCTTATGGACTTCATTTTTATGAGGTCATTTTAATCAGCAGTGCTTTTCAGAAGTTTGGTTGTTACAGTAATTGTATGAAAATTTCTAAATTTCTCTTCAACAACCATTCCCTGGAAAGGGATATCATGCTTGGTAAAGTGGAGGGTCAGTGAAAAGGGGAAGGTCCTCAGTGAGATGTATTGACACAGTGGCTGCAATGATGGGCTCAGATACAGCAAGGATCATAAGGCTAGTGCAGGCCTGGGGAGTGTTTTGTTCTTTTGTACAAGGGTTGCTGTGAGTCAGAGCTGACTCAACGACACTTACCAGTAATGACACCAACCTAAAAGAGAGCACTGATGAATAAAGTATCAATTTCTATTCTTTATTTCAGTTTTCCAGGATAGAACAACAGTACAACAGCTATATCACGTTAACAGGTTTAAAAAAATTAATTCCTGTGAAAACCAACTAAGAAGTACAGCACCTCTGCAAAATTCTCAGGCCATCCAGACCAGTTCTGAATAGCCAATATTTGCAATTGATATTTCATAGAGCTATAGCCTCTGAGCTCCTTCATGCAAGGCGAGTTATTGCATGTCATGACAGAGAGAGCATAGCAAGTCCAAAATTTAACAAGAAGGTGGCTGTTTATTTCACTTTGGGTAGTAGACTCATGTATCTCTTCAATAAAACCAACAAGAAGAGGAATGAAATGCAGGAGTCGGGCTCTTCTCTGGCTGACAGGGTTTAAATAGCACCAGCATGCTACACTTTGGAGCAGCAGGACCTTGATTTTTGGCACTATATCATGATTTTGCAACAACTCATGTACTTCTTTCATGTACTCAGCGGCAAATTTCCCAGCAGTTGGTCCTCCTGTAAAACAAGCATTTGCATTTCCAGAAGTGTTTGGTATATCTAAGTTGCTGTCAACATTTTAGAGGGCTCCTGTGTTGTGCTCATATTCTTGTTGCTAGGTAGGTGAGACTTTGGGTACTTCGAATTTTAGAGGCTTTTTCCCCATGTAACATGCTGCTGTGAAGACTAGAATGTGTGTGTTGAACTAAGAAGTGTGTGTTAATAAGGAAGGAGTGATTTGTAATGTGGAGTTCCTGGGTGGTGCAAAAAGTTAATGCACTTGGCTACTATCTCAAATGTCTGAGTTTACCCAGAAGTGCCTCAGAAGAAAGGCCTGGTGATCTGTTCCCAAAAAATCAGCTATTGAAAACACCCTTTGTGTTTTCACAAAAGGACCCCTTTTATTGTTTTCTCCATTGGACATCATCCTTTGAAAGATTTATTTTACCAGATGAAATAAACGAACAAAAAACTCCAAATGAGTTGCTGTTGATCAGTCCTCACTCATGGTGACCTCGTGCGTATCAGAATAGAATGTAGCTCCATAGGGTTTTTTCAGTGGTTGTGATCTTTCAGATACAAGCCTGTCTTTCGAGGCATCTCTGGCTGGGTTTGAACCACTAACCTTTTGGTTAGTACCCAAGGACTTAACCACTTTCAGCACCCAGGGACTCTATCACACTACATCTAAATAATTCATTGTTACAATGAAAAAAAAAAAAAAAAAATCTAAGACATGTAGCTGCCAGTTAAAGCTTCTTATGAGGGGCTGTGGAGAACTATCTATAAAATTTCTTTACATATCTTGAAATTTCTTAGAAAACGTGGAGTTAGTTTGGATGCGATATTCATCAAAACAATGTATACTTTGAGATAGTTTACCACTTAATTTTCTAACAAGCACCCATTAGTATTGTCTTTTACTAATGCACCTATTGGCTTTCCTGGAAGGTGCTTTATAAACATTAAGTTCTTATTGATTATTCTACATTATTTTCTGATTAACACATTTTTTTTACAAGATGCAAAATAAAATACCAAATAGTTTTACTCTGATTTGGAATCATATCACCAGGTTGGAGTTATATCATTCCAGTATAGATTCACTGATTTTTTTTTTTTTTTAATGATAATGAGAGCTTTGATAGGCTGTTACAGCACATGCATATTTTAAATTAATAAAATGGAAAATAATTAGTAATTTATTTAATGGACACATTCTTTTAAAACAAGATCCTTGAGGAAAAAAATAATTAGTAGTTATCTTTGGTGGTGCAAAGATAAAAAAAATAAAAGAATAATCTAAGCAAAGGAAAGGTTGTTGGAATGTTAAGACTAGAGTTATGAAAATCACTAAATTACAGTGTTATAAGCAAAAGGATTTTGAAACACTTGTTTCACACAACTGGTTGAATCAGTACCTGTGAAGGCCAATATTCCAATTCTGTAGCCAGCTTCAGCTCTCTTCTCAATGGCTAGAGATGTATTCCTCAACATATGACCTAGTACCAAAATCTTTTCTTTGTGAAAAATACTCTCAGCTGAAGAGATATGTTCTTCCTCCTTCTTTGGAACAAAGGAGCCCTTAACATTGACTTTCCAGAATCTCTTGAAGGCCTGATATAGCCTCACAAAATAGTGATAAATCTGAATCCAAAATTGCTTACAAAAACCATGGCTCTTAGCCATTGTGTAAAAAGGCCAATGGTACTTCAGCTACATCACTGGTGGTAACGTGAGCTCACAGTCAAGAACTCTGGAATGCATCCCTTAGCAACTGTGAAGAATGGCATTGGTAGCTCAGTGGTAGGATTCTCACCTTCCAGGTGGAAGAGCTGGGTTTGATTCCCAGCCAATGCACTTCACATGTATCCACACCTTTTTGCTTGTCTGTTAATGGAGGCTTGTGTGTTGCTCAGATGCTAAATAGGTTTCAGTGGAGTTTCCAGACTAAGATGGACCAGGAAGAAAGGCCTAGCAATCTACTTCTGAAAATCAACAGTCTGAACTCCAGACTCATATTCAGTCTCTAACTTGATATCTTTATTTAGATATCTAAGAGGCTTCTCACACTGAACATATCCAGTACAGAATTACTGATCTTTCCTAAACCTACTGCTTCTTAGTTTATCTTGAAAGAAGGCATTCCATCCTTCTAGTTGCTCAGGTTAAAAATTTTAGATTCATCCTTGATTTACATCCCATATCCAGTCTATCAGGGAATTCCATTGGCTCCACTTCTAAAATATATCCCAAATTTGATACATTCTACAAAAAAAACGTGCCAGTACTCTTCAAATACACTAATGCTGTGGAAGTTTTTTTTTTTTTTTTTTTT